AATTTTCAAAAGAACAAAAGAGAGAAAAACATGAATTGTGCTTTTATTTTTAGCTTCTGCCAGTTTTTTTTTCCGACGCTATGGTTGTACAGATCATCCCCTGAAAATAATGCAGACAATGCTCTCCTATAACATTTGTTTTGACATTGGTTGAGTGGAATCAGATCGTTTGTGAAGTTATTCTCAAGTTCTGTAGACAGCTCCTTTTTGAATGTGTTGTTTTAGTCTACACCTAGTTTTAAATAAATCAATGATAGTCGTAGAGAATAATAAAGAAAAGCAGAACATTGATTATAAGTTAATAATATCAGTAATTATAATTATAATATAATTCAAACCTGTAGCGGTGTCCTTGTAGATCTTACTTACTGTGTTTAAGTCACATGCACTATACCTGTTTTTGGTGAGTACTTTTTCATCTCTTTTGAAAACATTATTTCGTAGCAGAATAGAGAGAGGCAAGAGGAAAGAGGGAAGGGAACTTCTTCTGAGTGCACCCTCATCTCTTTTGATCTTCTGGGGGAGAGAACAGCATCGTGTCTCACTGACGTACAGTAGAGGATGCCTGTGATCTGACAGTCTTCTCACCTAACATGGATTTTACTTTGTCTGTCACTCTATCCTTCTCCATCACAGCCCCTTACTTCCCTTGCCAGAACTTTCTAATATAGAGTGGTGATTTTGAAGTCTCCTATATTCTATTGCAGCTTATGATCCGACCTGCATTTCATATTCTGGGAGTGTTCCCTGCCTGAAAACAGGAACTATTTTTATAAGCACCTCCATCATGTTCTGCAAAGTTTAAATATATCTACCTGAAATCCATGATAAATACAAACAAACTGGAGCCATGATTGAAAATTGTAGATACATCTGTTCTGAATAAAATTAAGGTGTGCTTTGTCCAGGATGACAAATACTGCCTAGCATAAAAGCCGATGTTAGATAAAAAGGAAAACATATCAAGTGATTATTTTTTGTTTATTTATAATAGCTTTAGGTCTGTGCTGCAAAAAGTATTGATTTGTGCTTTTGGGAGTCCTTCCAGTGTTCTAAAGGAAGACAATTACATCATGCATGCTGACAACTGAACGTGTCAAAGTCTACAGACATGTGCATCCATTTTAGATGACTCACCCCACTCCTGCCATTACAGTGATTGATGGCCAGAATAAAGAAATAGTGGATGACACGTATTTGGGAGCTATACAAGACATTAAACATACATTTTAGTATGGTTTACAAGAAACACATGAGTGTCTCTTTTGTCTCGAGATGCTCTGAAAGTTCCAGGTTGACAAAACAATGATTTTATTACTCTTTTATTGAGTCTGTGCTCATTTAATCTTTTATCTGCTGGTATCAATCTGTCAAAGTCAAACACAGAAATGTACTCAATAAGGTGGTTAATGTCTGTGGCAAAATAACTGGCACGGCAAAGAAAACACTGCAGGATCTTCACAACAAGTGGTATAAACGTTATCAGAATAAAATAAAAATGTATTTTGTCTGAATGTTCCATCTGTTACATAATCTTTTACTGTGTATGTTTTTTTTTTAAATTGTTTTTATTGGTCTTTGGTGTTTTATGTATGCATCCCACTGCTGCAAAACGAATTGCCTCGCCGGGGACAAATTGTTATTGATTGACTGACGCTGTGCTTAAATAGTCCAACAGCTTGTAAACAGAGTCAGTTCATCCAAAGAAACTATGAAAAGAGCTGTTGTGGATCTTGCAGTGGGAGAATTTAAACACTGGAAGTTATACACACTGTACGTATCTCTGAGGAGTTAGTGGGACATTAAGGCTCTCAGCCCAGCATAGGCCTGGGTCACACCAACCTTAAAAACAATGAGCTAGCTTACCCTTTTTCACCTGGAAGGTTTCTCATTCCTCTAATTCCCCTCCTCGACTCCTATCCTCCTGTCTTAGGCCCAATCCCAAACCACGCCCTACACCCTACCCCTACACACTCCCCCTCTGTGACGGAGTGAACTCCGTGGAGTGACACATGAGGCTCCCTCCTGTCAGATGGAGGGAGTAAATACAGCAGGAAGCTTTGGGACAAACTCCCCTCTCTCCGGCAGAAACAGGAAATGCCGTAACGGCCTAACAACGGTTTCAAATCAGCATCTCTTTGACAAAAAATGCAAATGAATAACTCAAATAAAACTCCTCCTAACATCTTTAATTGTGTTAATAGCTTTTTTTGTAAAGCTCTTTTGGTTTTAAACCTGATTTTTATAAGCATCTTAGTTTTTACAACAGTCTGTAAATATACACAACTTTATAATAAAATGCACACATTTACCTTTTTCTAGACTAAACACAGGTATGATCCTTAGTTAAAAAAATAAGAGGTTATCATGAGGTTGTTAACATCGCAGTTTATCAGTGGATGTTTGCTGGAACTACTTGTAAACAGCGTGTTTCCTGGCGGACACACACAGCGTTGAGACCGGTCAGGTAGAGACCGGTCTCAAGTCAGCACCAATGCAGACTCGCTGTTTGATGGCTTGATAGCCCACTCCCCCTCCACACTCGTTGGTTTGGAACAGCACTTAATGTGGCGGACCCTCCGCGCGAACGCGCAAACAGAGGGGTAGTGTGTAGGGGTAGGGTGTAGGGCGTGGTTTGGGATTGGGCCTAGATGTCCTTTAATATGGCGCGCTGAAATTCATTTCTGGGTCACTACCGGAGGATCGAGGATTCAAGGAGTCGAGGAGGGGAAATTAGAGGAATGAGAAACCTTCCTGGTCCTTTGCAAGTCAACACAATTAAAGCCGGTTTAAATGTGAATTTCCAAATAGTATTCATAAAGTTTGACAAGGCCCAGAAAAGGTCGCTGTGGAAATGCATCTTTCTGAAATTGTTTTGCTGTTGCTCATGTACCGGACTGTAAAATATGAGGCATGTAATGCTTAATTTACATAAAAGCAGACACCCTACTATTTAATCTTGTTATTTACATTTATTTACAATTTCATGTTCACCAAGCTTCGTTACAAGTATCTACTGATATTTAGTTTGTGTGCAGTTATACAGTTTAACCTGTAGATGGTGCTCTACACTTACATTGGCTAGAGGTCTGACGTTCTGGTTTGGGATAAGAGCGAAGAAGTCAAGGGATTGCCAGAACATTCTATACGCTAACGTGTGTGACTTCTTGTCGGTAGAAGACATTACTTATAGGTACACCAATTAAAGACTTTTTCCTGAGGAAGTCTTGTGTAATTGTTGTACTGGAGTGGAACTATGACAATAGAGAAGATGTCACGCGCTAAGCGATGGAGAGGTTCGTATAAGAGGACTTCGGATGAGTGTAGAATTAGACTGATGGGTATGATGTCCGTAGAGTATAGTAACGCAGTGCTGGGCAGCCATAGCGATTGCGTCGACGATGTTATACTTCTTCTTATGGTTCGATGTGCGGAGTGAGCCGGCGATCGTAGGCCGCTCGATTCGGTGTACCGATTGACCGATTGCCCTCCCACCCGTTAAAATAGTTATTTAGAGCTTAGAGCGTAAATTAACGAGTAATTGGGTCCGCAGCTCAAGAAGAGCGGTTTGAGCGAAGTGACTCAACAGGTAAGGCAATTTCGTAAAATGATTGTAAATCCGACTAATAAATCCATTGTTTAAATGGCTTGTCAATGGTGACTGC